AGACTAAAGAGATTCAGCTCCTTTAACTGCTTTGTACTGTGTGTGATATTTCTTTAAGGTGACTTTTCACTGATTCTAGAGCAGCGGTAACATGGTGTTCCGTGTTAAACAAAATATTTTAAACAAGGTCTTACTAGTGTATTGTAGAATTTTAACACCAGCTCATGTGTTACTTTCTTAATTCTAAATGTCAATTTGTCATATAGCCACAATCCAGGTGGATGCTGCACATTGGTGGTGGTGGAAGGGAGTCCCCATTACCTGTAAAGCGCTTTGAGTGGAGTGTCCAGAAAAGCGCTATATAAGTGTAAGCAATTATTATTATTATTATTATTATTATTATAATCCTGTGACTGGCAACTGGCATGACAAGACCAGTCACAGTCTTCCACCTGTGGCCTTAGACCTGTTGCTGTCCAGAGTGGAAAAAGCAAAGGGTCACTTCAGAGGAAGTCTCCAGCACTGGGGTCAGGCAGCAGGGGTGAGTGCAATGGAGCATTGAGGCAAATCGAAGGGTATGAAATAGTCTAGCAGTTCAAAATGAGCAAAACAATACTCCAGTTCAGGCCACAAGAACCTAGTGATACAAGTTATGTTTAGGTGCTTTCAGGACAGAAAATGGGGGACATTTCTCACAGCTCAGAAGGGGTTCAGTACCAGACAGGTATGAAGTTATATAACTGGTGACTGCAGTTCAGAGACTCTGCTGTAATCCATCAGGGCTGCTGATGAGGTAGGAATTAATGGGGTGTTTAAACAGCCAGACTGCACAGTGTAAGTGCTGAGACCTGTCTGCTTCTCTATTGGATATCCTCCTGGGGCAGTGAAAACAAGACATTTCTTCCTGATGTTATCACCAGTCTGCATCAATACAAGTTTTGAACATGGTAAGCATTATGTAAAAGAACTAAATGAGAATAATATACATGTATTTATTTCTCATCATTAACAAAATTAATTCCACCTTACACAGCAATAAAGCTAAAGAGCTCCCTTCAGTACTGCATAACGCAGATCTGTCAGGACTAACAGATTGCTTTAAACAAAGTTTAATTTGACCACGTTATATTTGAAATACGTTAACACTATTAGTTATAGTAATAGTATTTGTTATTACTTGTTATTTATACAGTAAATCACCAAGGTACATGGTATACTGAAAAACAGTTGAAGACGCGCTCGTTCTTCACGTTTCTTAGGATGGAACACAGGGGTGTGGCCAGGAATTGATTTTTGGGTTGGGCTGTGCAAAAGTGAGTGGCTCTCTCTCTCACACACACACGCACACACACACACGTTAAGCATAAATTACCTAGGCTACCGAACGCTGTTGTGCCCCAGCAGACACGCACAAAAAACAATCAGTGTCTACCTCTGTTGTGAGGTTTTGGCCTTCTAGACCAGACGCAGGTGTCGGGGCTTGGAATTGAATATGGCGATAATCTCGTCACTGTCTAGAGAGTCGGCAAATTCCCGTTCAAATGACAGCTAGTTTGCAAAGGTCTCTCATATGAGGACTTTGTCGTTAGCTAAAGAAAAGCTGCAAGAGCTCATTTTCACTTGTTGCTTGTAACAGTTCTAAGTATTTCGTATTACTGCTTTTAGATTGTATAGTAGTGTTACGAATTACTCTGAAGTTAATATTTTATTGCAAAACACAATGAACACAACCCAAAACTCAAGATTCAAAATCCGGATTAACAAAACAGGGGTCTAATGCGATGAGCTCACAGTCCTATTATCTTTCCGGCCAGTCATTGTAGAATACAGCGTGAGAGCACACCTGCCCTTTGAAGACACAGGTGTGGGTGCCTGTGTTAGATCGTCAAGTGACGTCTTCTGCAGTCTGCAATGTAAGGACCCAGACATGATTGCTTGCCCTGCTCCATGAAGTTGCCCACCCGCCCGTCGAACAGCACAAACGACGAAACTCACCGCAATCGTTAGTGCTGCGTTTGTGCCGGTTTGTGTCGCTGTTAGGAGCGGGTAATCACGCAACTATCTACAAGGAAGTTTACAGGTACCAACAAACTCGGTACGTGAACTCCTGATTGTGATGAAAACAATGGGGGCAATTTGTTTTCCGAGTCTCTCTGGTCGGGTGGGGGTGGATAGTTCAATATGTTTCAATATAGCGTCTTCTTTTCCTGGCTGTGACGTCACTCTGTGACGTTCAAAACAGCAAAGTTACGACCACCAGATCTTTCAGTTGTGATCTTTTGATCAGTTGACCCCAAACTTTGCAGCCTTTATACGAATAGACACTTACATTTAGGAAGGAGTTACTATGTTAGTTCATTGGGTTAGGTGCTTTCTTTTAATTTTTAACCATGTTCAAAAATGTATTGCTTGTGTATTCATTTCATTGGTGAAGAGACGACACCAGTTTCCAAATTATCGCTGGTACATCACGAGAGCCCATATTCACATTTGTAGGTATTAGTTTCAAGATCGATATAATTTAACAATAAAAAACAAAATTGAAAGCACTAACATTATAATATAATGATCATAGACTTTACATTTCTATTCATTTTTTGAAGTACAAAGCAGAAGGTGTTTCCCCTACCTTAAATATACGATTAAAATTGTTCAAATACCATGTATTCATTACAGAAAGCAGCGGAGACAGTTACAGTATACTGCAAATAAAAAATGTTTTTATTTCGAAGAGTACGAGACATTGTGAATCAATAAAGATGTTAAAAAAATAAGCCGATGTAGTTATTTTGCAAGTAAGTAAAGCATTTTAAAAGTAGATTCTCATTGACAGTAAACAAGCCGATCCACCTGGCGCTGCTGGCTTGAACAGCTCTCAGCCCCGTGATTGGCTAAACCCCCGAACAGCTCGGGCCGCGATTGGGTGAAGAGAGAGACTCGACACTCTGATTGGGTAAAGCGCCACAGCGGAAGTTCCGAGAACATGTAGATACACAGGTGATGGATGATCTTCCTGGTCCAAATACTGTAGCCCCGGTTAACCGTGTGTGCTGTGTGAGCACGCTGGATATACAGTAACACATCCATTGGTTTCCAATTACTGATCAATCTAAGAGATGTCGCACTGAGGTCAAAACTTAATAGCAGACAAAGAATGTCATGGCGTCCACAGCGCGTTCACGACTCCGATAGCATGTCACGATAGGAGTGCGCGCATCACGATCACATCGCGATACCCATTGCGATTGGCGCATCACTGTCGCGACATTAAGTCCATATATCGCGATATAACATACCTCCAAAAAACGCCCCCACCCCCATGTCGCGACATAGAGCCCGCATATCGCGATATGACAAACGCCCCCGCGCCCATGTCGCGACATGAAGCCCGCATATCGCGATATGACACCCGCCCGGCAAAAATGCCCCACCCCATGTCGCGACATGATAGATCCTATATCGCGATATGACATGCCCAGCCAAAACGCCCACCCCCCATGTCGCGACATAAAGCCCATAAATCGAGATATGACATACCCCGACAAAATGTCCAGCCCCCATGTCGCGACATGGAGTTCATATATTGCGATAGGACATACCTGACAGGATATTCTTACCCTATTTCGCGACACAAAGTCCATATATCCCGACGCGTCCTATCTGGGTATATCATGTCCTGATATGAGACCTTTGTTGCGACAGCAGTGCCAGGGTGGCATGGAAGCAGTCGTGAGTCGTGATATACACTGCCGCGATATACATGCGATATACATGGGATCCCTATCATGACAGGCTGCGGAGGTCTTGTCGCGATGGTATCCCACAGTTATGTGTCACGGTAGGGAAAGAAAAGGAAAACAGACTTGAGCATAACATCCCAGAAGAACGTGCTCGCACGTATGGGTTTCAGAGGTTGGAGTAAATGCATCGCCCCAAGGGTAATATCGAGCGAGGCGCCATGAGAATAAAAACAGCGAAGGTATTAAAATATTAAATTCTGATTATCTTGTTTGATCCTTCATGATGCTTTTAAACTTGTATGAAACCCACGAAATCAGTATTTTATTTTCAAGCCAAAAGACACCTAATTTGGAAATTCGTGACTTCCCACAAGACTTTTAACATTGAATTGTTATTGTCGCATTACAGCGCTAACCGGTTTACCGTACTTTTAATCGCAAGAATATTCTGTATTACATACTTTGGATGTATTTTAGCTCTGTAAACGTCGTTCACTTAAACTGCAGGGCATTTAGAGGCGATCTGAATAGTTATCTGTAAAATGCACACTCGCACTATCCGTCAATATTATCTTAATGTTATTCACGCATTCCAAAACTTGTAATTTGTTTACAGGAGAACCTCTTCGTGTCTAACTTCTACAGGTCGAGCATGTATCGAGCTGCTACAAGCAAAAGCGTGCACTGCCGCTTACGGTCCACAAACACTTGTATTCGGGAAGCCAGGCTGTTCTCCTTAAAACAAAAGATGCCTGTAGCGTCTCGTGTGTCGTATTTGTTTCGGGACTGGTCTGGGCATCTACAGGCGGCTTTTTGAAAAACGTAGATATATGCTATATGTATATATTATATATATTTGTTTTGCCATGTCGGGTAATAAACCAAAACCCTAGCGCTAGACAGCTCTAAGAGTGTCTGAGGACAACGATAGCCAATTAGGCTACGGCTACGCATGCACCGCCCAACTGTATTTACATAATTTTCTTATTGGTCACAGAAGATAGAGCGATCCAATAGCAAATCACATACGATGAAAAAAATCCAAACACGTAACATTAAAAAGCAAAACACGTAACGTAAACAAGGGGGGGGGGGATCTTAAATTACTTTGGACTGATTGGGTAGGCCTAGGATCAATCAGGGTGGGCCTACGCCCCTGGTGGAACAGAAGCTTTCCTGCGGGTCTAGCAGCTCTTGTGCCCTGATCAACTTTCTGAGGTAGAGTCGATTCCTCCCAGTCAGCAGATGGCGCTGTTGCACACGGAAGCGGGCCAGAGGAGCCGCTCTTTGTTTTCAGGGCCGCTGTATTGTTGAGGGAAAAGTTCCGAGCTGGGCGGAAGTGTGGCGGTGCAGGAGAGTTCCATGTGAGTGAGAGAGGGAGCAGCACGCTAAGTTACAGTAATATCTAGGGTAGAGAATATGGGCAAAAAAAGCAAGAAAGAGAAGAAGGTGAAGGGAGCGGAGAAGACGTTGGCCAAAATGGAGAAAAAGGTCTCCAAGAAGTCAAAGAGGGAAGAGGTTAGCTGGCATTAGTTACTGTGGTTGTCTACTTCAATTACTTCTCATCTCTCTAGGATCGATAGTTGTTATTACTGGGAGAGAGAAGTGTTTAACATTACAAACCCCTCTGCCAATTATTAAAAGGTGATGTTACCGCTTTGTGTTTTATTTCTGAGCTCCGAGTTTGCAGACTTGCACAGATGTCACTCTACTTCTGCACAATGCGACAACACGAGCACCAATATATTTCAAGACTTCGCCGGTATTTTCTCTTAAGACTCAGATTGACTCGGAAAAAAACCAACAAGTTATTAATTTTATGTGCTGTGTTAAAATACTAAGGTTCTTATAATTGCACAGTAATATTAGAAAAGGCTATCTTACGGCAAGTGAATCGTATTGTGTAATGTGTTATGTCTTTTAATGACTACAAAACAAATTCCCGTCTTGTACAATAAAGTAAATAGGTAGACCTGAAGAATTCATTGGGGCCAAGAAAGATTAAGTTGACAATTTTACCTTTTGACCGAAATCTGGTTTGACTGCATCATGCATTTGACGAATGCATCATGTGTGCAATAATTGTTGCTGTGCTGCCTTATCCTACACTGAAATTGTTTGAAGCTACTTTTGAACTGAAAGTGCTTTTAGTAGGGGTTCACCACTCCCCCTAACAGGATACAGAATCTTTCTCTTTATAGAGCGTTCAATGATGTGAAACTGATTCAGTGAAATCAGTTTACTCATCTGGAAGCGTTTTAAAGAGCCATTCGCCGGGGTCTCATGTTGTTGGTAAATGCTGATAACACACACACACACACACACCCCTGAATTGCATGATTCGGAAACGGCTCAAAGAGTCCGAAATATTATTCCAATACTCCTGACATCTTGAGTGCCATCATCACGGTTATAAAGCAAGGGTGTGCAATGTAGTTTGGAGGAACTGGCAGAACCATGGGCTGTAGAGCTCATGTGTAACTATAGCTGCTTGTAAGAGAGAGCCTTCAGAAGAGTGTCTGGAGACAGAATGGACTACTGCAGTCCTCTGGGTTTCATTCCAGCTCTGGTCCTTGTCAGTTATTAGTGAAAGCCCCTAAGACTCGAGTGTCCCATTACCTATTCAGAATCACCTCTGGCCGGCTAATGAATAAGAGGTGGTAAGGAGCCACGTGGACCGATTCCTGTACCAGGAACAGCATGAACCAGAGGAGAGTTCTCTCCCTGGGACTCTCAGTGAAAACGTGTCCCTTTCTCACCGGTGCTTTCCTGTCTCCCCAGGAGGATCTGGAGGCTCTCATTGCCGAGTTCCAGTCTTTGGACGCCAGGAAGACCCAGGTTGTGGAGACACCCTGCCCCCCTCCCTCGCCCCGGTATGGTAGCGATGGTGTCTTTTCACCTCCGGAGTTGTATTATAAGTCTCTTTTTTTTCAAATCCAGATCAAGACTCGAGTCGCCGTGGAGACGCATGAACCCTGAAGCCCGTGTCACACACACATCAGTTACAAGAGAGTGCTTTATATTCCAAACATACACGCAGTGACAGAAGCCTAGATATGGGCCATAACAGCTTTTTTTAAATGAAGCAAGTTAATTTACAATTTCAGTTATTAAGCTAAAATCCAAATGAAATGCAAGCCAGCCAAGAATGAGGCCAGCAGACCTCTGAAACATACCAGAGTATGACATAAGGCAAAAAACTGTATGGAAGGAGACCAGAGTTAAAGAAAATCATTGTAATTTCTGGGACCGAAGAGAACTATGTCTAACAGGAAATACAGCCCAAAATAGGTTCATACCAGATCTTTAGTATAAATTCAAACTGGGCATCTCGCTGTCTTATTTTAAGCATTTTGCGCACAACTATAACAAAAGTTTTTCTCTCAGCCTTATGGTTTTCCAAATGCTAACCCAAACCCAGTAGCATAATCAACCCCTACTGAGATGAAAGATGAATAGCCTACTGTTAGTGCTTGGTCATACCCAAATTTGCTTTCCTCTATTGTGTGACAGTTGTGCTATATCTGTATGAGTCTTTGTCTTTTAACCCTAACACCCTGAAGCTGTGCTTCGTGTTTCCCCGCAGATTAAACGCGACCCTCTCTGCTCACCCCGAGAAGGATGAGCTGATCCTCTTTGGTGGGGAGTACTTCAACGGCCAGAAAGTAAAACATCTGTCTTGTTTCCGCTTTTCTTGTGTTCAACGTGTGAACCTCATTCTGCTGAGGGGACAGAAGATGTAGCAGTGACAAGCAGCAGAGCAGCATGGAGAGGAAAGGCTAATTTCACATTCAGATTGAGTCGAGAGCCATTCGGTAGAGAATAGCAGGCAAGATGAGCTCATGTTGTTTACCCTACTTTATTGCTCTAGTGGCCATCTAGTAGGTTCAAGATGACTAATTTCTATATGATTAATCCCACTTTCAGCTTTATTAAAGACATTGTGGTGTTGCATTTATGATGCATTATTTTGAAAGATATTGCAGGTGTGTTTGTCAGCCTGTCAGTTCTCCTCACAGAATTTCTTCTCAGTGTGGAATAGTCCTGCACGAGTTCCCTTGCACTGTCATACTGCAGCCCCTCAGCCTGGCCCTCTTTGCCAGGCAGTCTTGCAGTGCGCAGGAGCTGCAGGTGCCTTCAGCCCGTCTGCCCGGAGGGGAGATGAAGCCTGGCGGGAACCTTTTTGATAACACGGCTCTCTTCCTGTTTCCTCGCTCAGACCTTCCTGTACAACGAGCTCTACTTCTACAACATTAAGAAGAACTCGTGGGTGAGAACCGACGTCCCCAATCCACCGCCGCGGAGATGCGCCCACCAGGTAACCCCACCCCTTTATTTTCAGATGGGGAGGGTCCCCGAGTCTCGATCAGTCAGTCATGTCAGCTGTCGTACCCTATGCCACACTGCACTTCGTCACAGAGCATCTTACGGGTTTCTGTGAGACGACCATGTGTCTACAAAGCAAAAAAAAAAAAACAACTATAACGTTATTTTTCAGGACAGCTTAGGGCCCAGGAAGGGGGGTTTCTGCATAAAGTGACTTTTTTGTCCAATTAAACATCCCACAAGCTTGTTGTTGGACTGTTTTTAGTCAGGTGTTTTTCCAGGACTTAACAAATGAGACTGGTCTTTTAGAAAAATGAAAACATTGTCAATACCTTCTAGGGTGCCTAGAATGTAGATCAGCTGAATTAGTTTATAATAACACCTAGCAGGCTGTGTGCTGCTGTGCCAGTTCACGCTACAGACTAAATCCCACTACAGCTGGCTTGGGGCCAGAGCTGAAGGAATTCTCACTCTTGTCCAGCAGATGGCGCTGTTTCTGTTTCTGTGGTTTTCCAATTAGTCGGGGGGAGGGATCATACTCATAGCAATTTAATAATAAAACAGATCTTTTGTGTGGGGCTACAGGTTTGGACTCCTGTACAATGTTGTGTTGAGCGCTGCGTGATTTTAGAGAGATCCTCTGTTTTCAGGAACTGCTTAACTGCTGATATCGAGGGTTTGCTTGGAGATCTCCTGGAATTTAAAAGTAAATCACAGTCACACTGTTTTAAAAAAATATTCTCTGCCTCTGAAATACCTTTGTAGACTCCTGTGTATAAATGCTTTCATATGCGGTAGATTGTGATGTGGCACAGGCAGTTTGAATAATTTTAATGATAATAGCGGTTATGATAAATGGGCTCCGCATCAGTGTTATAATGTCTGCCTAGGGGCCAGACTACACTGATGAGTAACCTAACTGGGATGAAGTGCACCAGCCTGCTTTAAGCTGTCAAACTTCAATAATGTGTTATCTTTTATTATGCACATTCGATTGATTTATTCAGGTTACACCACATATTTAAAAAGAAACATTTTTGCAGGCAAAATAGGCCTTTGGAAATGTACCTTGTGTTTGGTGTCAATTAATTTTTTGGAAGTTTTATGACTTGTTTGATTTGGGTCTGCCGTCAGTGCAGTCCATCAGTCAAACCTCTCAGGGGGTCCGTGTTCCTGGTCCGTGCCTGACGGCCTGGCTGTGTTTCTCCTGCCCCTGCAGGCGGTGGTGGTTCCTCAGGCGGGCGGACAGCTCTGGGTGTTCGGGGGGGAGTTTGCGTCACCAGACGGAGAGCAGTTTTACCATTACAAAGACCTGTGGGTCCTGCACCTGGCGACGCACACCTGGGAGCAGATCAAGTAAGTCAGGCAGGTGTGTGGGGCTTGACGCCCCGCGTGAATCGTTTTTCTCTGTGGGCAGCTCCTGCTTGGCTGTTCTTGCTGTCAGTGGCTGTTCTTGCCTTGAAAGTGGGATTAGTGACATCCTCGCTCTCATTAATTACTTAATTACTTAATTACTAAATTACATTAATTAATTACTGACATCCTTGCTCTCATTTTTTGGAAAACGCTTGTCATTTTTGTCATAGTTTTAGGATCCTGCCTTATTCCAGGCTCATTGCATTTCTCTGGATTTGGGTTGTTAGTTTAAGTCCTCTGGGTGTTCTGGTAATCGGTTTTAGTTATCAGCACATTGTGAACAAGTTGTTATCATGGTTATTGGACATAATTATATAGTCACCACGAGACCTGATCGAGACTGATGGAAGTCTTTGCATGCTACTACATGGTTTGAGATGCTACAGGAAGTAAATAATTGCACCTGTAGACCCAGCAAGAAGGAGTGTGACCAGGAATTTCTCATACTGCTCACACTGACTCTTTGTTTCTCCAAGTAGTGCATTTGTTTTAACTGACTTCCTCTACTCAGACTCACTCTCCACTGTTTCTATGCTCTGTACCTGTTACCAGCTCCAGTTTCTAAAATGGGTGACGGCAAAACAAAGGAACTTGATTAAACATGACCACATACAGCTTCTTCTTTTGTAGGCTGTTGTTTTTTTCTCTGCATTCCTCAGGTGGCCTCCCCGCTGGCCGTGCCCAGAATGTATAATAATGTATAATGTTTCTTTATTTGCCCTATACAATTTCTTGCATTAGGAATTCGTCTTTTCGCATACCCCAGCTTTTCTCCACGGAGACACAGACACACAGACAGGGAGAAGCTTGGGGTCAGAGCGCAGGGTCTGCCATTGTACGGCGCCCCTGGAGCAGTTAGGGTTAAGATCCTTGCTCAGGGGCCCAACGGAGTAGGATTCCTCTGCCGTCCGCGGGATTTGAACCGGCAACCTTCCAGTCACAGGCGCAGATCCTTCGCCACAGAGCCACCGCTCCGCCCACAAATAATACCGCCCAACGTGGGGCTCGAACCCACGACCATGAGATTAAGAGTCTCATGCTCTACCGACTGAGCTAGCCGGAATGTGGGTATCAGGCAAGTGCCGCTGGTGCAAACAGTTTCTTTATCCTTAACTGTTCCTTGAAAAAAAGGATCCGCAGGAGTTTCCTCCCTTGCAGGCGGTGCAGGGAGATTTAAAGCTCCAGAAGGCGCGTGGGCGTCTGCCTGGACGAGCCTGCCAGTTGGCTTCGGAGGCAGCTGTCCAACTGGAGTGGAGCTGGCCTGTGTTGGCAGGGGGCTGGGGGTGGCTGGGAGTCACAGGTGGCTCTGATTGTTGCGCAGTGATCACTGGTTAAAACACATCGCTTGCGCTCGCTGATTGATACTGGGATGGAAACAAAGAAAAAGGACTTTTTTTTTTCTTTATTACCATCTTCTGTTGTATGAGAAGAGCATTGATCTGATTGCACCACTGTTCTTGATCCCTTCTGATCCGCACCGGGAGTGTGAGTGCTCCGACTGGGATAAATCCAACTAGTTTGGAAGGGAAAGAAAATCTTACTCGGCTTTATCCTTTTTAAGGTGTCAATTTCAGTCCCTGCATTAGTCATAGCCGATAGGATTCTTATCCGGATGAGACAGCTGGGTGATCTTTTCCAAAGTGTCTTTAAATATTTGCCTCTGAGCTCTTTGCCGTTCAAACAATTAAGTATCACAAAACCAGCATAAGAGGATACCATTTCTGTAAGGAGATATTTCCACCTACTTCTGAGACAATAGAATTGCTTGCCTTTTTTTCTGACCAGCCTCCCACCATTGAATGTTAGGTGGTTTAATTCTGGCCATGAAAAATCTGAGTGTTCTTTTAAGGTGAGAAAAAGGCAGTATCTCTGCAAATGTAGCAAAATTAACACACCGCCCTGTTTCATGCATAAGCTCCAGAAATGATTCAAATTAAACAGTAGTGGTGAATTTCTTTATAGACTTTGTATGTTTTACTTTTTGCAAGGCTTTTTCTTGATGATCAAAATGGTTTGCATGTTTTCTTTATATTTTTTACCATTCTGTTGCTTAAAACCTACAAAGTGCAGTGATTTCCATGCTTTACATGTTTCTTATGAACCTCAGTGCCCTCAGGGATGGAGGTGCATAGCCTTACAGAGCTTATTTAGTTTTTTGTCTGCAGTCTTAGCATGTGTGACAGGCAGCTATGCTGCAGATGCAGCTTTTTAATTTAATGTAGGTGACGGGGCTGTTCTGATGATTTTTTAAAATGTTTTATTTTGTTTATGCTGTGGACTGGATTAGCTTTTTGAGGGCCGAGTCTATGACTCTTGGGTCAAAAGTCCATGCAGCTCAGATGCTGCCAGAGGAATGGCACCATGTATTCCTGTTTTTAAGATCAATATTTTGCACTTTACATCATGAAAATTATTAAATAAAATAATCTGACCAATAGGTAATACCATGAGTAAATGATACCCCTGTATCATCATTTATTCCTTAGGAGCTATCGTTTTAAAATCTCTGGTGGTTATTTTGTAGTTCAATCCCTTGGTCAAGTGTTAATCCTCTCTGTGTACTGATGTGACCCCTGTTACTCGTGCATGGTGCTGTAAGAGCAGAGGAACTACTGGGGAAGGGGCACATTCTCACTGACACTGTTGCCAGGCTCACAGGCTGGCAGGTCCTTCTGGGCTGTCTGTCACACTGCAGGCCTCTGACTCGAGGCTGGACACGAGCAGGGGTCCAGGTGTGCACTTCCGCTCAGGGGACCCCAGGTGACGTCAGCCAATGAGCACCCTGGCAGGCCGGGCAGAGCCTGGGTGTGTACTGTGGCGTCTATTTGTAGTGACCTTGGTGTGCCATCGTGTCGGAAGGGCAGTGCACAAGGCAATGCAGTAATTCAGTAAAAGGTGACACATATACAGGGAGACACCGACACATCTGAAATTTGCATTAGAAATAGTGCAGTGTGGTGGCCTGGCTTAATGTCCCCGCTCACTCATTCTGAAACAAGAAAACAACATTTAATTGGAAAATCCACTAGTGCAGCAAATTCAGCAACGCTCCACAGTGGATTCCACTACAACTTTGTTGACATGCCACCTTGTTAAATTGATGTTCTTTCTTACCCTGAAGTCAAGGACCTCCGTTTGGGTGAATATCCAACACCAGTATAGACACACCATGCCATGCTGGGCTTTTCCTGTCACCAGTAGTCCAGCTGCCTCTTGCTGTTCAGAATAAATAAGAAAAGTAACTTGTACTATTTCTGTAGTATTCTTTTATTAACCATACAGGAGGACACTGTTAGAGAGGCACAAAACAGTTATGCAGTAATTCGGGTAAGTGTTCAGGGAATGGCTGGAGAAGATTGACGGGGGCAAGCTTGTGCATTAATGCATTGCACCTGTAGTTTGTCAGGTTATCTGGTGATGAAATCTAGCAACAGTTCCTTTTTAACTCAAAGCATAAGATATGTCTGATAAACCATAATCTTTTTCCCCTTCTGACCTGATGAATGTTATTCTTTTAATTTAATTCTATGGTATTTGTATAATCAGTCCGAAATGCTGTGGCTGTCTTTCATTTTCAGTATTGATCACCCTATTAAATGACCGATCACCTTATTGATTGAGTGTAGTTACAGATTCTTTGGGATGAAAAACAAAGTATAAATGATTGCAATTCACCTTCTTTGTCTTGATGTCCATCTTCTGGGTGACCTGATCATCATGTCCTGTAGCTCCCGACTGGTCCCATGATCCCATGAGCCTGACCTATTGACCTCCTGTTTTGGCAGAGCGGCAGGCGCGCCGTCGGGACGCAGTGGCCACCGGATGGTGCTGTGTAAGAGGCAGCTGGTTGTATTCGGCGGTTTCCACGAGAGCGCCAGGTGAGCGGGGTCCCACACTCCCAGCGTGACTGGGGCTGGGGCTTCTGTCACTCCCAGTGTGACTGGGGCTGGGGGCTTCAGTCACTCCCAGCGTGACTGGGGCTGGGGCTGCCCTCAATCCCAGCATGACCGGGGCTGGGGGCTTCAGTCACTTTCAGTCTGACCAGTTCACAAGAACTCCCTACTGTAGAGTTCAAGACCATATGCTGATAACTGTCTCTAAATTAAGACACTCCTCCATCAGCATACCGTAGACCTTTAACCCTTCCTTCCCAGCATTCCTCACTGCCCGTGCAACAGCCCCTTGTTCCGTTCCACACTGGGGTAACTCATTGGTATTTTTCTGAAGCAATGGTTAGCTGGGATCTGGGTATGACACCTCTTTGAACACGAGTTGCTAAGATGATTGTATACCTTCTGCACACCCTGCACAAAGGCCTTTTCTCAGTGATGTGTTTGGTATCACCTTGGTATGTTTAAAAGGAATCGGTGCATTAACAGTGTGTTAAGAAGTGATATCAGATTTCAGAAATAAAATACTTTGGCCTGTGGAGACCTACAGTAGCTGTGCCACACTATAGTCACACCTGTTTGTTTCCTAACGAGGGAACAACACTATGAAGCTGTAAAATGTCTGGCCTGTCTTTCAGAATAATTAATTAATATTCCCTAAAGGCCATTAAAACATTTCTTTTGGATTTTATAATGTGGTATGCTTGGTGCATTTGGCTATGTTTCAAACAAGTGCAGTAAATTCAGCTTTGAAGAATGTTCTTTATAAATAGAGTTCAGAACATATTAATTGTGGTAGTAAGTAGCACATGACTTGTTTGTGGGTGAGGGAACAACAGCAGTATTGGGAGAGCAAATGGGCAGACTTAACCAGGCCTTCTGGAGAACATGGAAGAGTGGCAAAATCCTGGAAACTGCCTTCTTAACTGTCAGAATGGATCGAAAGGTATAAGCTCCTTATCAGTTATTTGTTTAGCATTAACGAGTTCTAACTGTTCTGCTTCAGTTGGATTTGTGTCACTGTTATGTGAATATGGATACATTCGTACAGTATATGTAATGAATACACCCCAGCGTATAACGGGTATCTCAGCCGCCCGAGCTGAAGGCCTGAAGTCCCCTGTGGCGTGATGCTGGGGACCCGGGTTGGCGCCCAGGCAGTGAGGGACGAACTGGCAGGGCAGGAGTGGCAAGGGCGGAACCCCCAGTTACACATCGTATATATGTAAGAGGATAAGGCGCTCGGTTTGTGAAGGAGGCCCGTGCCCAACCTCTGCTCTTCTTCCGTGAAGGGATTATATTTATTACAACGATGTCCACACCTTCAACCTGGACACCTTCTCCTGGAGCCGTCTTGCCCCATCGGGCGCTGGGCCCGGCCCGCGCTCAGGCTGCCAGATGGCCACCACGCCTGATGGTGGGGTCGTCATCTACGGGGGCTATTCCAAAGTGGTGAGTTGTTCTTGGGGTGTCTACTTTACTGTTGTAATGAATGTGTCCGAAGCCAGGAGAGTACAGCTGTGCCTATGCAGTTGTAATATACGTTTAGTAAAAATTACTTTGGGGATCCCAGCCTTATTTCCAACCCTGCTCTTTACTTAATAGAATCCTTAATTCAGCTAACAAGTTGCTTGATTGGAACGTCTCGCAGTCGGGTTTCTCTGTGTCTTTTTGGTTTTATACTGTGTGCTACACCGAAAACCATCACCAAAGAAAAGCTAGGTGCTGGATTTCAAGATGTCAGTTGCTACCTTGGTTATGGGCACGTTGTGCATCAGTCCTGTCATCCAGACGGTCGTGCTGTTTTTGTGGGGACTTCATGGCATGCTGTCATTCTGCCAGCTCAGTGTGGAAATACATTTTTTTGGAAACATGGGGTCCGAGGACCTTGTTAGCCTGACATGCAGCATGGACCGCAGGCACTGAGCATCAAAGCTGTCACTCCAGACCGTTACTGGTACATCTACATTCCTAAGTCCCAGCTCTGTCTCCCTCTGGAACATGTCCCTGGTGATCAGGTGTAATACTGGCACCCCCACTAGTGTCAACAGAGAGGTGTCGAGTGTATTGCAGGTGCAGCCCTCAGGTGTGCTGACCGGAGACGATGTTGTGATCAGTAGAGGACACCCTGGCTGGCTCAGGGCCTCTGCACCCCAGTGGCTTTAGGTGAAGAGTTCCTCTGCTTGGGGAAACTAGGTCATAGTCAAGGATGTTTGCACTGGGGAGCTCAGCCTGCGCGTAAAGGCCGTTCCTGCTCTGAGTGCAACACCTCTGAGTGCAACACCTCTTCAAGGCGTGCAGTCTGTCTTAAAAAAAGGATTTTTGTGTTTGCAGAGACAGACATGGTTTTGGGCTAAGTAAAGAATAACATGGATTTTTCTGGTGTTGCGGATTGGGTAAATGGATCATGCATGTGTTTGTGTGGCTAACTGTGATAAGGGGCTGCAGGGGCTGATTTGGCCTTATCTATCCGTCTGGAGCCAGGAATCACCTGCCCTAGTACGGTGAAGACAGCATGAATGCTGACCTGCAGATACCTGTCAGTAGCTGTTTCTCTGCTGGTACTGTCTCTGTCACAGCGGATCCCGCGCTGGCTCTGCCTCGAGTGCCGTGCCTGTGAATTGAGTGAGTATTGCCAGCTGGGACTGCTCTGTGTTCAGCACTGTGACTCAGCATTGAAAAGGGGCAGTGAGACTCCCAGCTCACTAACCTAACCACCAAGGAAACCCCTTCAGGTAGCAGCCCGTCTGCCCAGAAACACGCATATCGGAAGAAGAGAGTGAAGAGCAATGTCCCAAAGTGTCAGGGTATCTCTGAAACTGTGGGATATAAGTCATTGTGTGATCCTGAAGTGCTAGTCACATTAAAGACTGCTGTAATTGCTTTTTCAGCATCAGATGATGTACTGTACTCCACAGTCACTTACTGAAAAGTTTCTTTACATTCTTGTGGAGTGTGGTTCAGGTTGTGAGCTGGAACATTGATAGGCATTGTGTTGTACTGTATGTATATCACACATTTCAAAATCTGCCAGGTTACAAAAACTGATTATCCAAGCGAAGACATATTAAACAACCAGGCGAGTGAATTACAGCTCCTTTAAAGATGTAATGCAGACATGGCTCAGTTGACAGAATTTTATTTGACCTCATTCATGATTCAAAACTGTAAAAATTAAAACGAATGGCACAGTCGTGAATGCAGAGAGGAACCATAAGCCTGGTTAGATGTTGCCACTCGAACCAACTACCAGATTTCAGTTCTCCCAAAGAACAAACCCCGTGCAACGACATGTCTTCATAAAATTGTAAAACTGCTGTGCTGTGAGACAAAAGACATATAAGTGTCCTGTTTCCCACAAAGCCTCAGCCAACCAATAATTGGTCGAATTGGACTCTGGTGTTTCCTTCCCAACCATTGTGCCTTTGGTGTGTCTGCAGACAGTTGTCTGTATTTGCATTCTCAGCACTCCAATGCATGTGATTGCATCTCTTTTTTTTTTTGAGAGCCAGTCTTCATAGTCCAGGTGTGCTGATTGCTGCCGGTCTGTTTTTATTCAGACACATCTGACTGGCATCCTGCTGTAGTGCCTGTCCGGAGTGGATCTGGGGATTTTACGAGGTGTTTATGATGCACCCAGAAACACCTGTCCTAATGCTTAATGCGTTCCTCTGCTGTGCAAATCCTGCTGCACATCACTAAGTGCAAAATAAAAAAAAAGAAGTTCTGCTGTATTTGAGTCCTATCTGATCACTATTAATATTCCTTGCTTGCCAGTCAACAGTTTAGGCAGTAATCTATTGCTGATACTGGCGCTCAACGACTTAACGAGGGAGATGCATTACAGGTTTCATGGGTTCTGATGCTACCAGGGCCCCGTGCAATAAATTTACCCATAAAGCCTTCTGCTGCGCGCCGAGCCGAGACTGCGGCCATGGCGACTCAGTCGACGAGAAGACAGCCGTTGCTAGGCAACTGGAGGCCTAGGCAGGTGATAGCGAGGAGCTCAGTGGTGATTGTGTGGCAGGGGTGGGGGGTGACTCAAGTCCTCCAATGATATAGCAGGTGAATTATTTATATACATTAGGAGCACAGGAGGCAGGCAGAATCAAAGCACCATCTGCAGGAACAACTGTGCTATGACACCACAAACATGCTGGAGAAGGAATTGGACAGGAGCCAGCTGCAACTTCTGGGATCCTGGTTCTGCTCAACCCACACATTACCGCTTTTGGGCTTTAGTTAGCTTTTGAGCTTTTGATATCGATTGCTCCTGTGGCACTTGAGCCTAAGAGAGTGCTGTCGCAGAATAAAAAAGCATATTCGCAGCAGCAAAAATGTGCAGCTTACAGCGATGAAGTGAAACCGGCTTTTCTGGGTCCTGTAACAAACAACGATCTGGTTAGCAGGATCCTCGGCATGTCTCCGAGAGAGCCCATCAGCTGTTGAGCATTGAGCGCAGGAAGGTTGAGATAGGTTTTACTCCCTGAGGCCGCTATGTAATGTTTAAAGGTCTCATGCCTACCCTGTGGAGATCTACTGTGCTCTACTGTGGAGGTGTAGTGAAGTGGAGGTATCCTTGGGGGATTGCAAATAAGAAACCGTTTGGCCAGTCCCCTTAGTTTGGTCTGTAATAGCTTATTGATTGAAGAGTTTTATCCAGTCATCCCAGGTAAATTGCTTCATAGCCTCATACCAAAAAAAAAAATTAAGTCTTTTTCACGAAGACTTTTGTTTCTGTAAAACTTTTCTGATGCAAACCTCTGGATGATTAAGTGCAGTAATAGAAATTAAGTTATTTTGTACAGCAATTCATAGAACTGGATTAGCCTAAAACAGATTTAAAGACATGCTTTTATTTGAATGGCAGAATAGGGTTTAGCAAAGATGAGATGGAATTAGACTTACTAAATAATATATTCTCTTTTCTTTTGCAGAAAGCCAAAAAGGATGTGGACAAGGGCACAATTCATACAGACATGTTCCTGCTGAAAAAGGAGGGCCAAGGTACGTGTTTTCAGGGGAAAAGGTCATCAGCTCTCACTTTGCGAGTCCTGTCCCATTTCCTGCTCTCTGAAAGCAGAGTTTTATGATGTTCCTGATATTCCTGAAGGGTCCCTCCATATTTCAGCCTTGTTGATCTCATTTCCCCTTCTCTGAGTTTTCCAGAAACCACACACACTCGGAAACAGCTTGGAAGTTTAATGAGTATGATGGAATGCATCTGACAATGTTTGTTTTCCTTCTTTCACATGCAAAGATATGTAGCATGAGAAACCATTTTAGATGTTTGTGAATAAAATATTGTATACAATCAGTTGTCTTTTGCAGGGTAAAAACCCGAATAACAAAAATGATAAGTCTGATAAGTGAAAAAAATGCCAAGTTGCAGGGAACATCAGAAAATACTTTCTTTATAAACATCACAATAAAGGTAAAACAAATGATAAAAAGAAGAACTAATAGAAAATAAGGCAATAACTTACAGATTTTTCAATTCCTGTTTTGAACACATCAAATTAAGCAGCATCAGCTAAATCTTTAAGAGTGAAATGATAATGTTAAAGCAACACCCTGCATCTGCTTTTCATTGGGATTACGAACAAGTGAGAGGTCTGGCTTACAGCGGCCCTGTAAAAAGAATTAACTCGAACACAAGAATAGAAAATACAGCAAGTACACATTCAGTCTAAAGCTAATGGAAGTACTGCTAATAGTATTACTTTTTATCTTATTTGAAAACCATGATATATAAATCACGATGTCCCACCCTGATATGGCCATTTATTAAATTTGGACCTAAAGCTGATTTTTATAGGAAATGTGTAAAATTAAGTTTTTTTTACAGCGGACCAGAGCCCTCAGAAAGACTGCCTCTTTCTGTTTTACATTCCTGGAGTCTCCCTGTGGGATTGAAACCTTTGTACGTCGTGGTTTGAGCCCGTCAGGCCAGCAGGTGTCAGGCCTGGTTTTGTGGACCAGGTCCCTCACGCAGATTTGAAACAAGGAACAGGACTTATTTTAGGGATCTTCTAGCTGTCTCTTGTCTTTATAGAATGTGATTGGACCTTTCACTGAGCCCCAGAGTCTGTTACTTTGAGTTATCATTATGTCATTTATTTGAAACTCGAGCTGAATCTCAAGCTGGGTTTCCAAGAGAGCCACCTTGCTGCGTGTGCCTCTGTCACACGCATGTTACAGTTTTTGAATTTGTTTTCAGCCAGAGCCCTGTGTTGTTGTTTTTTTGTTAATCAATTAACGGAGTGTGAAAAGGTTGAGGGTTACTGGTCCACCACCTGTCACGTCTTTCCCACAACCTGCAAATACAGCGGTGTGTTTAGGGTCCCTGTTTAGTGAATGACTTTTTTTATTCCCTTTTTAATAAAGCCAAACAACTAGAACATCAGCTCAGAGAATTAATTAAATGATAATCTGTCTATCCTGTACATAGGCCTCTCAGTTCTCGTGTGTTAGTTGATATCTGTCCTTTTCGCTTTCCTGTCAGCAGTGATGGTCTGAGCATCAGCTAATGCTCATTGCAGAGAAGCAGGAGAAACCAGTGTGGCCTTGATACAGCTGACACTGCTGGCCCTGTGCTCTCGGGCTCTTGTATGGATACGGCCATCATACTCTCAACCGCTTTTCCCCCTGTGATGTAATTTGCCCGTTCTCCGTAAATTATGCCAGCTGTCCTCAAGATTTCATCTCATTCTTATTGCCCTAGTCATTTGTTCTCTGTGTGCCACGAGGTGCCCAAAAGCACCAGATGTATGATTTATTGCAGAGGAGCGTGACACACAGCCCTCCACACATTAATAATGCTCTGTGATACTGCAGTGCTGTAATGGCCCTCATCAAACACCGATTCTGCTCAGCTCAGACAGGCTTTGATTCCAAAGTAGCACCCTCCTTGGGATTAATAGGTTCTGGATCCTTTAAGAAAATAGTCTTGCAGAGACGCAGCTGGCTCCTTTAGTTTTCTGCGGATCTGAACTTGAGTGCACTTTATAAGCACCATATCGCATATGCCTGAATTTCATGAAGCATTCCATTTGTTAGGAGCATCAGTAAAGCTGTTTACTTCTTTGAGAATGTAAAGAAGAGCATTTTCAGGGTGGAAGCAGGGTGGTGTTTATAAGTTAGCTTTGCAATAGTTATTTTCTTAGATCTCTTCTGTTATTACTTCTTTTTCTCACAAGTGCTGTGACAGTTTCTTCTTTCAGGGTGTTTTTGTTTTGTAAGCTGATTTGATTTGCAGGTTTCCTAGTCCTTTCTGTGTACCTGCTGGAAGTTTCAGCAGGAGGACAGTTGTAGCGAATTCCAACCAGCGCGGGGGCTCAGGTGTGCTGGAACATTAACGGGTTTAAAAGAACATTTGAAGAAAAACACTTCCGATGAAATGCCTGTTGTTTTATTTCTGAGTAGCCAAAGAGAAAAGTCTCATTATAAAGCAAAGATGGAGAATACTTTAGCGCTTCTATTTGTAAAAAAGTGGTAGAATGATGACGCTCTTGTTCTCGTTGTGTAAGAGGCTCTGTGCTGTGTGCTGCATGGGTGTGGTAAAGATGTCCTGTCTCCATCCTCAGAAAAGTGGGTGTGGAGCAGAGTGAGCCCCTCAGGAGTGAAGCCCACCCCTCGCTCCGGATTTTCTCTGGCCGTGGGGCCTGGGGGCCGCGTGGTGCTGTTTGGAGGTGTGTGCGACGAGGAAGAAGACGAGACCTTGGAAGGAGATTTCTTCAACGACATGTACTTGTACGACATGAACAAGAGCCGCTGGTTTGTCGGTCAGCTCAAGGTATCTCTTAGTTCTTTTCCCTTTTTCATACTCTATACTTTTGGGTGGCTCTCAAGGACAGCACTGCAGGCTCACTGGGATCCCTGCTGCACCATGTCACTCCTAAGGCTGCTCTAGTGAGCTTCCTGCTCCACTTGCCCTAACTGCACAGCCACTGGGGGGATTCTGGCCTCCTGGGAGTCCTCCATTCCAGCAATAGTCCATCCATCCATTTTCTAATTGCTTCATCCAGTACTGGGTCACACTGGTGCCAGAGCCTATCCCGGCAAGCAGCGAGGCGAGAAACTTCAGAGGGCACACACAGACCCCAACGCACACTCACACCAGGGCCACTTTTCCCAGAAGCCAATTAACCTTTCAGTATGACTCTGGGTTGTGGGAGGATACCGGAGCAGTCGGAGGAAACCCACACAAACACAGGGAGAACATACAAACTCTCAGGGCCCCAGGGCTGTGAGACAGCAATGCTCACCACTGCGCCACTGTGCCGCCCCCAAACAATCCAGTGCCGGGAAATTTTATCGCGCATATTTTTTTGCTTCCGTAAAAAAAGGAATAGTCCTGTTCTACAGTAGATTTTTTAAAAGTATTTGTTTCGACCTAAGCTGTATAGAAACAACCTGTTATGTTTTTTAAGCACCTGTTTGTTAAGGCCACTGGAGATGTATAATGTCATTTCAGCCAGGTGGCAGTGCAAAGCTTCTCTTTCACAGCGGGAATACTGGGCCTTTTCACATGAAATTTGCTATAGCTCAGCCTGTGTTAAAATAACAGGAGAACAAACATTAGAACATAAACTATCTAAAGCCAGTGAACTGGACTAGGTGAAATCAGCTGGAGGTCTTCTGACAAGGCTCACTCCCAGCAGTAGCTTTCTTCACGATCTGCAGCACAGCCATTAAAAGGACCCCCCTACCTACCTTACCCTCTCTAGGGTGACACAAGCATGACAGGCAGACACCTATAACCATGAAAAAGCAATTCTCATCCTAAGCAGCTAATTGTGCAACGCCACAGAATTCAACGCACCATCTGCACTCTACACTTTTGACTTGGCTACCACATATTTATTGTTCTGTTTGTTTGCTGCCTGTCCGTGCTGTCACAATTTATTATCTAGTGTTTTGTAATGTACAGTCTACATTGTGAGGTGTTGTCTGCTGTACTGTGCGTGTCTCGAGAGGACGGCATGAATAAGAATCCCTTTGTACATGTACTTATGGCAGATAAACTCCCCTATCTATCCCTGTCTAAGCTGTTGGAAAATGATCTCAACGCATTTCATACTCGTGGATTTCCAGTGCATGCGTCTCTGTTCGAAGAGGTCTGTTTTTTCTTAGATCCAGATGCCATGTACGTTTGTCCTCGTCTCTGACAGGGGCACCGGTCAGAGAAGAAGAAGCGGCGAAGGGGGAAGACAGCCGAGGGCGATGGGGCCGAGCCCAGCGAGAGGCAGGGGGAGGGCGGCCAGGCTCCCCGGGGGCCGGTGGAGGTGGTGAAAGAGGTCGTGGCCGAGGACGGCACGCTGATGACCATCAAGCAGGTGATCTCCGTGCCGGGAGAAGGGCCCCTGTCCTCAGAGAGCGAGGAGGAGGAGGAGGAGGAGGAAGAGGAGGGCACATCGGCCGCTGTGGTGGAGCCTTGTCCCCGGTCCAACGCCATGACCACCGTGAAGCACGGGGTTCTGTATCTGTATGGCGGGATGTTTGAAGTGGGCGACCGGCAGTTCACACTCAGCGACCTCTACGCCATTGACCTCCACAAGATGGACAAGTGGAAGGTTCTTGTGGAGATGGACCCCAGTAAGTGCACTCAGTCTCTCCGCATGGCGTGAATCAAAACGGCCTCATCCCTGCAAATGATTTTTCTGGCCGAGGTCAGAATGCACAAACAACCTGCTTCACAAGCAGGCTTCATACCACTTGACAACAGAAAATAACTCATCAGAAACCAGTACAGACAGAAAAGTGCCAGTGTTGCCACCTTTGAATATCTTTAGAAACGCATGCATGAACGGAGGGTTTATTTATACTCTTTTAAATTAGTTTATTCACTTTATTTAAGGGTAATCAAATGAACTGAATCACCTGCAATACATGGAAATATGTGTTCCACCACCAGAAATATTAGTCAGCATTTTCTTGTTTACACTGTACATGAAATCTGAAAACATAGTATAGAATAGATACTGTGGTATGTCTTGTGTATCTCGTCTGCTTGAATTAGTGCTTGAGCCCAGGTCACTCTCCATTAGTGAGGCCAAAGGCCGTAGTGTAGAACTGGAAGACTTTGCAAGCAAGGTTAGCAGTGCATGTGCTGACTGGCTGACTGGCTCTTCCTCAGAGACCCAGGAGTGGCTAGAGGAGTCGGAGTCAGATGAGGATGAGGAGGCTGAGGGGGCGGCCGGAGGGAATGAGGAAGAGGAGGATGAAGAGGACTCAGAAGAAGAGAATGATGATGATGATGATGATGAAGGTAATGAGAGCGGGCAGTGGGTGCATTGGTGCTCATCTCTTGTAGCAGAAATACTTTGTGTTCACATGGGATGTGCAGTCTCTCCTTGCTGCTTGCTAACAAGCATCACATGTGCTTTTCCAGCCATACCCTGCTGTGTGGCCACCCTGGCACAGCAGTGCCTTTTGCACTGCAGCTGTGTAGGCTGGGCTATGTGAGTGTTGTCCTTTTCATCATTTTCAGTAGGGCATTGTCTTTCTCATCAACCTCATTAAAAATCAAAGACATAAACGTCGAGTTCCTTAGGTACTAATTTCATGTCGTGATGCGGCTATGATTTTGCACCGCTGTGGCCTGTGCCAAGCAGCGGGCTCACCCAGGTTGTTATGTTTTACAGCTGAGGAGCACCCTCCTGTCGAGGAAGGAGAGTCGTGTCCCAACTATCAGCGCCGGACGGAGCAGTACTGGGTGAAACTTGCCCGGGAGAACATGGGCCCTGATGCCAAGGACAAGAAAGTGGTGAAGGTGGCACAGGCCATGGCAAAGGTGTTTTACGAGGAGCGGGTCTGAAATCCGTGTCAGCTTTAATCGGGGGCCTGCGGGCCCTGGGGACAAATAGGCACAGGCTGAGCCAACTCTGAAGACAAGCGGCTTTTATCAGGCAGCTCAGGGATGCTCAAACACTGGTCCTCTTCAGGAGGAACCCACAAGATCTCTTCCTCTGAAGATGGAGGCTCAGGTTTCGGACACAAAGTGAATACGAATAAATGGAATCCATATCCCAATATTAGTACAGTAAAACCTGTTCTGTTTTGAAAAATTCAAGGCCATTTGTCTGAAATGACTCAACAGGAAGTGCAGTTTCCTCCGGTTGGTGGCTGATGCTTCCCTTCAAAATATTTTAATATCATTTAAGCCAATTCCTTTAAAGTTGCCATTTATATCTTCTCACAAGGAAGAGAAAAACGGTGTTGGGGAAACACGGTTTTCTGTCCTGATGATGTAAAGCCTTCACCCATGTTGACTGTGTTTGGACAAGTGAACTTTGCTAAACCTTGAACATAACACAGCTCCAAGTCATGATCCACTCCCTATATACAATAGGCACTGCTGCGCCCTTCTCGAACCTGAACCTGTCTTCCTGATAGCCAGGGTGAATCGCTTCGGCCCTCCTGGGGGGAAAAGGCCATTGATAATAAACGCACTATAATAAATACGGTTTTGTTAAACTAAATGATGAAGTGAATGATGTTGTTTCAGGCGAAGGATCCTGATGCTTTAGTATGTTCCTGTGTACAGGGAATAGTATATACTGTAGGCTGGGAATCTACTAGAAGCTCCAGCTTCTGATAAGCTGCCGTAGTTCATGCTTGAGTATTTTGAATCTGATGTTTGGAGGTTTGTGCTTATTGAGAAAAATCAGATGTAATGTGTTACACGAGTGAAAACATTTGAGACTCTTCAAAAGGGAATTCTTGGCTTGTGTTAATGGATTGAAAGACTAGATTAGTTTAGCGTCTCAGGGAGAGAGAGGTCATTGCAAACCAAGTATAGTCATGTGACAATGTCACTTGTCCTGTCAGTTTCTTTTCATTCTAAATGGGTTCAGTTATTTGGAAAAGTGCAAAAATCAGGATTAAAAACTGAACAAATTTTATTTACACAAGGGAATTCTCAGTGATGGCTCTCTGCCCCTCTCAGTTATCCGTCTGGTCAGTCAGTGAAAAGTTTTTTCTTTTTGTTGCCTTTATATTGTTTTCTGAAGAGAGGGAAGAGATGCAGGCGAACTGATGGCGGGCTCACAGAAAGAAAAAAAAGTGTCTAACGCCCACATAAAAACAGGAACACATTCTACTTTGGAATTTTTTTATGATTTTTTTTTAATGAACAGCATTCGGTGTTCCTAGACAAGGAAGTCAGACCGTACTTGTAATTCTGCAGTGAGCACAGGATACGAATAGGCTCGCTATAGCAGGGAAAGCACAAAGTGTAACTACCTGTGTTAGAACGCGTGGTTGTGTTGAATGCATTGCAGTCTCTGGATTGTTGTGGCTCCCAAGCTCGTTAATAAGAGTGCAGTTTTAAATCTGTGGAAGAAGGAAGGTATCACTCTTTCTACATTTTAATTTATGTCCTAGAGTGACCTTTTTTCATCTGCAGTGAGATTTTACGTAACTGAAATAATGAATAATTGATGATCGCCGGGAAGAAGAATGAGGTTACTCCGATGCCACAGAGATCCCATTATTTCTGCACTATTTTTTAACTTAAACATTTTATAAAAAGACTGAAATTATAAATAACTCAACGGTCTATTTTTAATGGATGTGGTGCTGACGTCTTTGGCGCACAAGCCACCGTGAGCAGCAATACGTCAGCAATGTTCCTTCATGCTCTTCGGTTTCCATGCAAAGTTGTAGCGTCCAGAAATCCCAGAAGTGCAGAATGGGATCCTGGGAGCACCTGGGCCAGTATGAAGGTCTGCATGAGAATGCAGCCAGAACACACGGTTCAGCACTAATAACTGCTGTCTAGTGCCCAGTCTTGCTTTTGCAAGTAGCATCAGGCATCTCTTCTTGTGCCTGCTCAGGAGCAGACATGAGATCTGCAGAGTTTTTAGAGCCAGACTCTTGGTATCAATGCTGCTTAAGATCCTGTCCCCTACTTGTCCATGAGACATCACTAAATATTTAATAATCTTTTAATATTTTGCCGAAGTATGCAACATTTTACACAGGAGATACTTAGATTTCATCGCATGGATATCTGCAATATAAGTCATGCTACTTTATTTTGTTTTGAAGGTGGTCAAGACAAATTCAGGGAAATTTTGGAGTCTATACCTTTGTTATGGGCCCTGTCTGAACTAGTCTTTTAAACTGTTTAATTGTATGGTAATTGCATGTAAAAAAAAAGTTATGTTTGTATTAAAAGTTTGCAGTTTGAGGCTTGAAAATGAAACTTAAAACAACAAAGCAGAGAAGGTGAGATCCTAAATTAATGGCATTTATTTGTATCAGGAGCAATGAAGCAGAATGAGACACATCTCATTTCTGTAACTGGCACATTAGAATTTTGAAAAGAACAGCTTCTGTGTAAACATTGCACATTAAATGTTAGCGCTAGGAACTTTAGCTCAGGTTTGAGAATAATCTTAGCCCTTACCTAAACTGCCAAACATCATTGCTAACTGTTTTTTGGCCAACCCACGAAGAGGGGCAGCATGGGAAATCCTAGAGTAATGGGACACTAGCTTAGTTCTCATGCCTCCCTGATTGCCAGTGTCTTGGTGATTTCAATCTGTAGTCTAAAGAGCAATAAAGTACATTTATCACCATATTGAACATAGATCTTCTTCAGGGAAGATCTGATAATGTATGTTATTTTAAATTGTGGACTCTTATCTTAGAGCTTGTGCTCTGTTATGTAAGACAAATGCATTTATTATATCCTCAAGGGAAACTTTGCTCTGGGCTGTTGGGCTCTAGACATATTTTCCAGAAATTAGTCCCTAAAAAAGAGAGACCATACAAGTATCCTTTCTGTTGCCTAGTCTTTGCCTTGAGTCACAATATGTGTTTGTCTCTTAGTGCTCCGAGTTTGTCTTTAAAGGCAGAAAACTCCCTAAGCGGTGCTGATTTTCTAACTGAAGTACCAGTAATAGATATTTTCCTTCCTGTAGCCCATAAATCGGTTGTCATCACAGATAAGTGTAGGGAATAAAACATGTGAGGAAGGAGATGGAAAATGCAGGCCCCTCCTATGACAAACCGGGCAGTTATATTGAACTGACTTTTCTTTGGCTGATGTTATAATGTAGACCAGGGATACTGCATCCGTTATGTATACTGGTAAAAATGTTTTTCCTGAATCTGTTGGAAAGTATCCTTCCTGTTATGAAACAATTACAGGTTTAAAAGATGCACAGCTCCTCTTCACTGCGGGCCACTGGCTTGATCGTTTCCCATTTCTCTCGCTTTCCTCCCACTGCTTCTACTTGTGAGAACAATGCCTGCAGACTGCAGAGTGTGATTTTGCTAGGCTGCTGTCGTTCCTTTTGGAAAGATTGTAAATGAAAATGTCACTCCCTCGACTGATTGCTGGATGTCATTCTGCTCAAATTTCAGCTTGTTGCTCAGTGTCACAAGGGAGCATCCTACACCAGCCAGGGAGGTTGAGAAAAATAGGTGTGCCCTGTTGCTCTCATCACCTGGCGAGCTTTGTCAGGACCTGGGGCAGTTGTGTGGCCTGAGATGATGGCGTTCGGTTTGGCCCCGTCTTTCCAATACGGTGTTTGTGAGGTCCCTGCTGTGCAGACTGCTCTGTGGTAGGGGGGTGGAAGGTTGTAGTATTGATGAAGCAGCTCCATAAATTTAATATACCTGAGGCACAAAAGAGATTCCCGGTTAGTACTGGAATGTGGTGTTGGTGGACCATTAATGTAGGTGGATCTCTTGTCTCTGGACCAGAATGTCCAAACCAATGTCCCAGTATGCCGACAGGGGAAGGACAGAAGCCATGTCCTCCTGATGAAATGCTAAACCACATTCTCATCTGTTTGGTAATTAAAAATTACTTGGCACTGTTTAATGGAGTAGGGGCGCTGATCTCAGTGTCCTGGCTAAATTCCACTGTACAATCTGACCTTCCCAAAGTTTCTCCTTCATTTAGTTCACCTTTACCTGATCTCCTTTTTAGTGAAGCTGCTGGTGCAGAGTGCACAGTGCAGCTGCGTGAAATCCAGGCGGGGCTGCATTTTTGTGATGGATGAAGTGTGTGCAAGGTGCTATCCCTGTGCATAAAGCGATTGAGAAGTGCCATAGAAATTCAAGCACTTATTTTTACCATTTGTTGAATGCCAGTGCCTTCAAGAGTGCATGTCCCAGTGGAAGTGGATGATCAGTCTTGGGCTGGTGCTCTTTCCTCTGCCACTCACTGAAAGGTTTGGAAGGGTAATCCTCTTATCCTGGTCAGTGATGAGGCTACGCGGCAGTGGTATTGTAATTTTATTACAGTAATCCTTTGCTGTAGCGTAGATTGGCTTAGGATTCCATGCTTCACTGTTGTAGATCTCACAAGTCTGCACACAACAAAATATTATGCCAAATGCGGCAGGATTTTCTCCAGACAAACGTTATTGGATTAGCAGCTATTTTATTATAGGATTACCGAGGGATACATACACATTTTTCCTCCATCTGTAATCCTGTGGTATCCCATAGGCCTCGTACACTTAATCATCTTGCATCCGTATGGGATTGTAATCTGAGGGAATTGATCTGAAGGCTGGAACAGGCTGGTGAAAAGTTGCGGCTTTGGAGGATGTGCAGCTGTAGTTTAGAAGAGCCCACGTTCTCTTCAAGTGGTGGAAGTGGAATTTGTTGAAAGAAAGGCCTGAAAAAGCCCAATTTCAATCTGAAAGGAAGACATTAGGACCTGAATGGTCTGAACGGGTTAGAAAGGTGCAGGTCAGAATGGAAAATGTCCTTTCATGATAACCGTATGCTCTGCCATATCTTTGTAAAGCCATGTTGCCAATCTCAAAAATGGGTCCCCTCAGAGTCCTCTCCAACACATGACCCCCTGCAGGACGAGATGATGATTTGAACAGGACTGGACACCATCACCAGCTCGCCCCGCAACCATATAACAAAGAATCACAGAGCCTTCTCTGTTCTGTGACCTACAGTATATTGCATTGTTCAGTGTGGTGATGACATTATGATAGAGTGCATTTCTCATGTTTTGGACGAGGCCTGTTGGTTTTGTCAGGGTGAGAATGTAATGTGTTCTTTTGCACACTTGTACATCAACCAACAAGGAGCAGTGTAGAAAAATCCTGATCTCAATCCCATGAAAAATGTCTGGTGAAATGGAATGATGAATGCAGGGGAAACGTGGAGACCAGCTGCAGTAGAATCTGTGCTGTAGAAAGCATGGCCCATGTCTGGCCTACTATACGGACTATTTCGTACAATGTGTACTCTTTCTCTTCTGTTTTTCACCGTCCCACTCCTACAGTTCTCAGGCTTGTGGTGCAGCCGGCTGGGTCCTGTCCGAGAGGCACAGGATCTCTGGCTTGGGATGTCAGTTGACAGCACTCTGAGAAAATCCGCATGGGCTAGGAGAGACCATGCAGACTCAATCGAAACAGACACCCAAAGCCAGAATGAAACCCAGGACCCTGGAGCTGGGAGGCAGGCATGATGCTATCCCACTGTGTCACCACCTGGT